CACCTGTGGTGTGGCTGTGTGCATGAATTTGCAATATTTCACACTTTAGTAAATTTGCATGATGCACCGTGCCACACGAACTGCGCTGAAAGTCTGCCTCCTGATCTGCCTCTGATTTTAATTAGTTTTGAGTCCATTCAGTAGGTAGATTTATATATATTTAGTTTCTGCCTATCCGCATTAATGGTATCTGAACTTACGCATATTTTATGGGTTTTTGTTTTTTAACACGAAGTTTGATGGCCAAGAAAGATAGATATTTATTTACTAAATAATATTCTTGTTAAAGCAAGAGGTTATGGTTTGATAGAGGCATAATTCTTTAGGTTATAAAATTGTAAGTAAAAGAGATTTAAAGTCTAGATTAAAATATAAACTATTTTTCACAGTAATCTTTAACATAATAAGCGAACTTTAAATGCTCATTTTGAAGATACATTTTCCGATTTATTTATTTAAAAGAACAAACCTAATTCATAAGCCTTAAATTATTACGTTCCACTTAATCTTAGTCAGAATTAATCCACCATAAACTGTAATAAGTTCCGGCACTATGCAAAAAACCCAGACTTGGCTCCAGATTATCGCTATATCATTAAGAGTTACTAAACCCCCTCCCAGCTATATACCTGTAGAATCTGGCAAAGTGAACCAAAACTATGGCCAATACAGATCTTGAGCGGAAATCTCACGCAAAGCCGCTGCCTAACTGGATCAACGTAGATTTATATTAAATTATTCCCACAGACATGTTATTAACTTGCTTAATAATGGCTTGTGAGCTACCAACTAATGGCCGAGTGCCTTGCAGAGCGCCAGACTGGTAGATACTGTTTTCTGTAATGTGTATTAAAAACAAATTACGCCTTAATGTGTTTATTAGTTAAGCGCATGGATTAAGTCTGGGTGGATTTGCATGCCTGATTCCCATAAAAATCCAACGAGTGAGCCTGCAGCAGGGCGTGGTCTCTGGTCTGGAGTGTAAATTTGATATGTGCTCGGAAAGATGATTTTTTTGCATATAAATAACTTGAAACGAAAACGAAAATGTGCCTCACGTGAGTTAAATCATTTGCATGTCAAAGTGGCATTAGAATTAAATGCTAATCGCCAACTCCCCTTCCATATTATCAATTTCCATTCCATCAACGGAGGCCGTCAATTTCCATAGTTGGCATAATTTTATGTCTTACTCGTTTCAGATAGACCATCTTGGGCGGTATAATTATGGGTTAGCCATGATGACCTGATCTCTCGGCTGGCTGTGAACTCTTTTTCACAATTTGTCTATGCATAGAAAATTTTATAAACAGAACATTTTGTGTAAATTCAAATTGGTTCCTTGCATGACGGCTGCGATTTAGTTGGAGCATAATAAATGTGGGTAAATATTTATTTATATATGTGAACTTATGTATTTTAAATGTTTCCGAGTTTAAGATGACGCTGGGATTTTAAATTGAATTTTGAATTTATGACAGAAGTGAATCACTTTATGAATTTTTTCTTAGATGTGGCGTGATTTCTACTACTATTTGGGGGCTTTCTTTTCAGGAATTGTTACTTTTTAACTAGACAATTTTTTAGAATTTTGTGTTGGCTTTTTTTTTGCTGAACCTTTTCTCCAGAAACTTAAAAATGTTTGGTTGGTGGTCTCATTTTAGTTCTCAGCAATTTTCTTTAAAAATATTCTCTGCCTTAAGAAGATGTTTGTTACTTAAAATAGAGATTATAGAATGAGCTGTTGTGTATATAATATCCATAATTTTTAATGAAAAATATTGTAACTAAAAATACAAATTAAAAAATGCCATAACTTAACTAATTAAAGCTCCAAGATTGCTGCTTGAAAATTCATTAAAACCAGAAAATTATATAACAATAGAGAATGTCTTGAAATTTCCCAAAAAAATATTATTTTCTTGGCAAAGTTCTTCTAAATTTTTAATTTTTAAATATTTTATTTATGTTATTTGTTTTTTTCATATTTTTATTTTAATTATTTTTTCATCTTTTTCAGTTTATTAACCTCTAATACCTTTTTTATTATTTTATTCTTTTCTCTACGAATTTAATTATATTTCTCGCTACAATTCGCTACATACTTGTTGTAACTCGTAAAAAATAAAAACACAAATAAAACCCAAATGAAATCCAAGATTATAAATGGCATTTTATGATTGCAGCTAATAAATTAACTTAAGGCTGCAACAAAAGACTCAAGGAGCGAACGTACTCAGTTGCAAAGCCATAAAAAATGGCAAAATTATGCCGACAAAATAACTTTGAGATATTATTGTTATTTTTCAAAATTAATTTTCAGTTTCTGGAAGCAACAAATCGCTGGGCAAACAAAAACAAAAAATAAATAAATACAATAAAATAGAAAACCGAAATAAAAGAAATATTAAATAAATTATAAGGCGATGTTGTTGGCTTGGGTGCAGTTTTGCGTATCCGAGTATCTTTTGCATTGTTAACGTCTTTATTTCCCCGTTGTTGTTGTTGTTGTTGCTTTTTAGTGAGTTAAAGAACTATGGTTGTTGTTGCTGCAGGAAAGCGACAGCAGCGGAAATTAATGAGCTTAATTAACAACACGCAGGGCGGCATACGAAGTCGAAATGATATCATTGCATGGTCGCTGGGCTGAAATTTTCGGTGCTATGCTGTGCATTTTTATAGCCACTTTAGCTAAGGTTTTTTTACTAGTCCATATTTTTGTGCTGTTTGCAAGTATTATTAGTTTTTGGTTTTTACTGCCAATGCATGTCTATCGGCACAATTAAATTTGTTGCACTCGCTGCACAAAATGCATAAACAGTTGCGTTGCTGTGGCGGCTGCCTCCTCTCTGTTCACAATTTGGCACGCAAATTGTTGTAGTATTTGCTTAAGGCCTTCAACGAGGCAGAAATCGCGAAAAATCAAAATTAAATATACATTTGTTCCCAGTGCTAATTACAGCAAATTAGAAGCGATAAAAATCAGCGAGAAGAAATTGGGCAATAAAATTCGAGGAAATTATGTATAGAGAAATTGTGTGAATTGAAAATTAAAAGAAAGTATTAATAATACTTAATGAATAATGTCTTAAAAAAGAAGCAAAAAGTAGTAAGTTACTAAACAGAAAAATGTATAATAATTTAAAATAATATAAAATTAAGGTTACGAATTTTATTATATAATATTCATGTAATTTATGACTTTAAATTAAAGATATTCATAAGAAAATTATTAATAAAGAAATAAAAACCATAAAAAATTTAACATAATTATTATTAATGCTGGAAAAATATTTTCAAGTTAACTCAGAAAAAACAATGCAGAAAAGTGATTCAAAAAATATGAAATATTATTAAATTCATTCTTTAAGTAATCCTAAATCTAAATAATAATAAGAAAATAATTAAAATACACAACAAAATATTAAAAAAAAAACACAACAAAATATTTAAAAAATACACAAAGTTTATTTATAAAAATAATCCTTGAGTAAGTAATCCAATTAGAAGTGTAATCCCAGTCAGAGTAATCCAAAGTACAGATCCTTTCGCGAGAAACGTCAACTTACGATTGACTGCAGAGTCCTGAGGAGAGTCCGCCTTTTATACAAATTTCTGTTCCCTGGAAAGGTTTCCAATTTAAAGAAAAAACCAGGAGAAAATTTGAATATGCGCAATGAAATGTGCGCGACGCTAATAAAAAACGGAAAATGAATGCCTCATTGGAACGCTGAAGGCTGCGTTTTTAGGGTGGCAGTGGAATGGTTAACCAACCCTTTGATAAAAAACTGAGAGCGGTTATATTATGTTTACCCCTTTATCCTTTTTTAGAACATTTGCAGTGTGACCTTGTACACTGTAATACTTAAACCTCCACGATTTTAACCCCTTTTGTGGTAACTGCCTCAACTTTTAGTACAATTAAAAAAATCAACAGTTTTCCAGACTGAAATAACAATTTTAAAATCAAGTAAATTATTTTTGTGGAATTTTTCGATGGTTTTTATTTTTGTTACCAGCATCATTATCACATTTGCCAAATATGCATCCTTGCGCATGTCCAATTTCGACAATCTCCAGTGCTGTCAATCAAAATGCAAATAGTTGTACCTCATTAAAAGCCCAACTGAGGAGAGGATAAAAAAATGCCACCAAGTATAATTTACATTTTCCAACCGAACAAAACAAAACTTTTGAGGAGAGGCTCGCGCGCTTGCGCAGTGCCAACAATTAATCGGTCTGCGGGCAGAGTCGAGGAAAAGGCAATGCGACGGGGTCGGCCAACTGAGAAATCCGGTGACAAAAAGCGTTAAGGCAGCACCATGGAAAGGGGAGGGGAACTAGGGATGGGATTCTGAAAAAAGAAGTTTTAAAAAATCATTGGAGTATAGCTTTTGAAATAGTAACGACTTTGCCTTTGAAATAGTTAAAACTTTGCCTTTGAAATAGTGATAACTTTGCCTCAATAAAATAAATTATATTTTAAATATCAAATAAATATCAGTTTATCTATTAATTAAGTTTAGACACGCGATTAATTTTCACCATCTGTAATTATTACACAAATAGATTAAACTATAAATATCGGCGCTTTTCAAGATCGCCGACACGCCCCCAGGTTCGAGTGCATCTGAAGTGGGTCTCGTGTGTGTATTCCATTCCAGATTTTGCCCTTATTAAAGATTTTTAAATACTATAATTTGGGTGAGAAATACCAAATAAATATAAGTTAATCTATTAATTAAGTTTAGAAAAGCTATTAATTTTCACCATCTGTAGTTATTACATAAATAGTATTTTTATTAAACTATAAATATCAAAAGGAACACAAATTGAACAGCTAAATAATTTTAAATTTTCGCAGAATAACAATGGTTGCAGTGAAGTTACAGTGTTTAATTTTTCTAATATTATTAAAAGAAGCTTTGGTAAGGACTCCAGGAATCAGCCTATTCCAAAGCTTCCCTTGAATAATCTTTTCCATTTTGATAAAGTTTCAGATGTCCCTAGAAAAACCTTATAAAGCCAGATTCGAGTCGTTGAAATCATCCGGCTCGATTACATACTTTCGTGCCCGTCTTTTGGGCAGAGATCACAGACTCAATGGAACCTTGATCTTCAAAGAGGATATGGGTAATAATTTTGTTGTGTCTGTAGAATCTTACAACGATGCCACTGGTAGTGGGAATTACAAGCAGACTCTTTATTCGGCATCAAAGATACCCTTTTGCCAGTTCATCGATACCTATTGGAAATACTTTGCTCCGAGTATGGAATTTGGCAAGAATACGGATGTACCCTTTATCAACCACACGTGTCCCATACCAAAGGGTGAATACTATGTCAAGGATGTGATTATCAAGACAGACGGCTGGCCATATGTAATGCCTCGTGGCTTTTTCAAGGCTGTGTGCACAGTCCAAAGGGACGATGAAATTGTGAGCAGCACAGAACTGATAGTTAGCTTTACAGATCGCACTGGAAATTAAATCTTGTAAAGTATAATAAAGGCAACGTTTTATTTGAATTTTTATTTTAAATATTGATTGAAACTCACGCAACCATCTCGAAAAAGTTTCAATTGGAAAAGCTTGCATCTGTTGGCTCGAGACTTCAGCTGCCTGGCGACGTGTCGTTTGTCGTTTTCAACGGTTTTTACACGATTTTGGTCAAAAACGTCCAACTGACTGACAGCTGCCAGCCATTCAGTCAGCTTCTGGCCCCAGGCCGAGGACACAACAACAACAAAAGCAACAGCAACACTCTGTTGGCAACAACACTTTAACTGCAATGTCGCCTTGTTGCCAACTTTTGTCTCTTTTTCTCGGTGTGTGTCAGATTTGAGTTCGATCTTTGCAGCTGTTGAAAAACAATTTTTCGTTTGAATAATTTACCAAGTTTTTTGTTGTTGTTGTTTCAGCTTTGACTTCTGCTTATTAACGTAACAATAATTGCAATTGCAAATCAAGAATTTGCATAATTATTTAGAAATCACGAGGCTAGTTAGTCAGTTAATCGGTCGCTGATTGGACTCCATTACCATGAACTAAGTTAAATGGAATGCTGGCGAAAAATCGAGAGCATTGAGCAAATGATTTAAGGGGGGGGTAAGGTATTTAATTTTTTTTTTCGTAAATTTTTTTTTATTTTTTATTTTAAAAGTTCAACATCTTAAGAATATTATGTCCAAGTTTTACATCGATCATAGGAATATTGACAAAGTTATGCGGAGTTGAACGAAGGTCGGTTGGTGTTCAATGCATGAGAATCGCAAAGTTTAAAGCGCTCTCCTGAAAAATGCCATTTTGAAAATCGGTGTACACGATAACTCAAAATCTACTCAACCAATCGGTTTGAAATTTGGAACATAACTTCTTTGGATAATTCTACAGGTATTCACGTGGAGCTTTTTTTAATTTTTAATTTTCTTATATTTTTTATTTAACAAATTAACTTAATTTTTTTGTCAAAAATCGGGGTTTTGACTTCAAATTTTGATAAAAAATAGGGAAAAAATTTTAAAAATAAAAACTCTTCGTGAATACCTCGGGACACTTATCCTTTAACGAATGAGGTATAATTTTTTTTAGATCGGATGATCCTGTGGACTGTTAGGATGTACACCGCAAAACAACTTTTTTGGAGGCGACTCGGGAGATTCCCTATAACTTCTCTACCTCTAAATATTTTTCAATACAAAATTTATTAAAAATTATTCAAATGTTGTGTTATTATATGGTATTTAATTCATTAAGCTAACGTTAGCCATTCCGCCACAATAACTTTTTGAAAAGTGGCCTTTTTTGCACCGAATTAACCTTACCCCCCCCTTAATGATTTTGTGAACTTTTACATAAGCTGGCAGAGTATTTCCGCTTTATTCATTAGAAACAATGAAAATCATTTCGGTTTGACATGGAGTAGAGATCGCCACGACCATTAAATACCTACTTAATTTGTTACAAAAGCATTGCATACTTTTTGGGCTTCAACTTTTATTTCTATAACTTTTTAATCAGTTTTTTAGGAGTATTTTAAGATTTTTAAATATAAAATTTAACAAAATTTATATAAATCTAAACAGAATAAAAACCAAGTTGTATTTAAATTATTTTCAACATTTTTATATCTGTACCCTGCCTTACCTAAAAACCCATATACTCTTCTACTCTACGAGTTACCTGGCATAAATAGACGACAAAATTGTGCATTGTTGAAGTGATTTTCACAATGCCATGATTTCCATTTCCAACGAACGTAAATTTTCCGTCTCCGATCTTAGCGGCTTTCAATTCAGTGTGAGTCAGGGCCTCAATCAATTTAAATATTGCCTCAGACGCTGGCAAAAAAAAAAAAGAATGTTGGCAGCATCTGACGGCTACTGTTCGGCTTTCAATGTCGACGACGACTGGGTTGGTGATGATGATGTGTTGAGGTGTCGGCGCTTTTCAAGATCGCCGACACGCCCCCAGGTTCGAGTGCATCTGAAGTGGGTCTCGTGTGTGTATTCCATTCCAGATTTTGCGCTTATTAAAGATTTTTAAATACTGTAATTTGGGTGAGAAGAGAAGAGTGGACTTGAACTTGCCGCTGGTAGAGTGCCAATTTATCAGAGATTCGTCATGGTCCTTGGGCAATATCCAGGAGTAGCTAATTTAACATTAAATTATGAAAAATCATTCACTTAATTGTCCTTCAGTAAAATCCTTTTAAGTAGCTCTCTGCTATCAATTATTGAAGCTTTGTTTATGCACAATTGCTAATTGTTTAGAGTACAATTAAGGCCAGGTTTCCTTTTAAAATTTATGCAAACATTTTGTTGCCCTCAATTGACTTTGATTCGAATAGCACAAAACTTACTTATTTGCTCTGCTTGTCATTGAACTGATTGTTGTGCCTTATAAATGTGAATGTTGTTTTCGAACTGTTTAGGTGTATATAAGCTATGATATAGTTGGCATTTAATTCAATTATAATTAATTTAATTATACCAGGAATTTATTTTAAATGAAACAATTATTATATTATTATATACTTAAATATAATATGATTAAAACATTACAGTAATCTATATTAATATTATTTTGAAAAGGAATTTCATATTAAAAAATAGTTTATATAAGAAAAAAGTCTTATTTTTCCTAGTATTTTTAATAAAAATTTTTAAATAATCACTTTTTATGTAAATTTGTATCTTTAGAGTATCAAAACTTCACCATTTAGTGCCAGAAATTCCCCCATTTCGTTTCGGCAAGCCGGGCTTTACAATCAAATGCACTTGAGAATTAACATTCGGAATGCCTTTAACAACTGATCGAGCTTTGGCATTTAATTGAAAGTCAACATACTTATGCAAATCCCAACGGCTGACCACCTAACGAGCCAACCGAGAAATTTGCATAGAATGAGGCTCTTACTGAGGAGTTTTTGGCCGTCTGATTTGCATGCTCGTATAGCTCGTCAGTACCAATGGGAAAATATATATATGTATCTACCGGATACACGGATTCCTGGCGACAAGAGGACAAGCAATAAATTATGACAAAGCCGGCATTAAAATAATTTACAAATTAAACAGCAGAAATTACATTAAAATGAGGGAAAATGTGGCAGCCAACAAGAAGTGCAGAGAGAGAGACAACAAAAAGCGGAGATTCCTTTCCGAGAAAGCCAGTTGGATGCCGCTGGCCAAGCAACGACGAGTGAAGACAGAGTCTTTTGCAGCTTCTGCCGATGCTGACTGATGTTAATAAGGCGTCTCATAAATTATCAAGGCGAAACGTGCTGAGAGAGACGAGAAGAGTGGCTGCCAATGCCAGTCCATCAGGCTGGGGTTCTAGAGATGGGCAAGTTTGGTGGGGATTTTCTGGGGCACGAAACGAGCTGGATTTTAATTTTAAATATTTCAAATTGGTAAATTAAATTGTGATTTATTAATACATTTTTTAAAAATATTTAAGATGAAAGCATTATATAAATAAATAAGCAGAAGGGTAAAGAAATAGATCCCAAACAGAAATGAATACTTAATTTCACTGCTTACATTTCTTTAACTACTTTTGGATAAGTTTTTGTGCTTATAGATATTCTAATTATTTTCTTTTATTTCCTCTAACTTTTTTAAGGAAAAATTAAATTGATAAACCCAATAAACCTCACTCAGCATTTTTAAATATTTTTAAATTAGTAAATAAATTACAACTTACACAACTATCCTTCTTTAAACAAAATAAATATATTTTTTAATATTTCCATCATAAAATGAATCCTCCATTTCCCTCAGATTACCGATAGTTCTCACAATCTCATCTCAAATTTTCCTGTTAGCCTTAGTTTTGTTGCTGTCTTGACATATGCAATGGCGCGCACAAGACAAAAAAATTTACATTGCATTTATACGGATGCGAAATGCAAGACAAGCTCAAATGAGGGGATGGGGAATCGGGATGGAGATCGGTATGGGGGATGGCTGCCACTATTAACGTGACAATTTGTGATTTGTGCTGGATGCTGCTGCTGTGACTCGTTGGTATTTAGAATTTCTTTCTCAGCCTCTCAGCATCCCAGCATCTCAGCATCTCGGCATCCTGTTGCATCCGTAGAGGAATACGTCGCCAACGTTCTTGGGCCTGTTTTGTTGCTCTGACGATGACTGCATTTAGATTACGGAATTATTTAAAATATTTTATTAAACAGCAGCTGAGAGAGCAGATCTCTCTGCTGTCCTCCACTTGCAACTAAATGCCAGCTGTGCGTGGCCATCATAGCGGGGTATTAATTATATAAATTATTCACAAGTTTTTCTCTTCCTAATGAGAATGTCCCGCGGAAATTGTACAAAAATGGCGCTGCAGCGCCATCTGGCTTTCGGAACGAATTCCACCTTCTTCCCATCGAAGGGGTTGTTATTGTTGGTATTGGAAGAGTTCTAAAAAAAATAGAAAGACCATCTTTGGTCTATGCAAAAATCAGAGACTGGAAGTAAGCGAAAGGGTTGAAATGCTGTTCATTTTTTACCACCGAAAGGGTGGGATTGGGAAATTTATTTTTTACCAACACCATTCAGTTGTATTTTGACTGTGAAGAAGTAAGGATCTAGAAAGGAGTTTCTAAGCTAAAAAATAAAAAAAAAAACAAGAAAGGAAGCTAACTTCGGCACGCCGAAGTTTGTATACCCTTGCAGATATTATTTCATTACATTTCAACTATACTTATAATGTTTACAGTTTGACAGTTACAGTTTTACATTCACACCTTTACATTTTCTCTACATCTACCGATCGCTCCTATGGCAGCTATATGATATAGTTGTCCGATTTTCATGAAATTTATACCAAAATTCTACAATAATAAAATAAGCTTATATCTCAGAGTAGATGAAAATACGTTGAAAAACAACGAAGTTATAATTTGTTTCCTATTAATTTCCCGATCGTTTCTATGGCAGCTATAAGATATAGTCGTCCGATTTTCATAAAATTTTTACCAAAATTCAGAAATAATATAGAATGGCCATATCTAAAAAATGGTGCAAAAATGTTAAAAAACAGCAAAGTTATAATTTTTTTTCGAAAGATTTATCGAACATTTGTATGGCAGCTATATGATATAGTCGTCCGATCCGGCCCGTTCCGACATATATAGCAGTGAGAGTATATAGAAGACTATATGCAAAGTTTCATTCAGATAGCTTTAAAACTGAGGGACTAGTTTGCGTAGAAACAGACAGACGGACAGACGGACAGACGGACAGACGGACAGATGGACAGACGGACAGACGGACAAGGCTATATCGACTCGGCTGTTGATGCTGATCAAGAATATATATACTTTATAGGGTCGGAAACGTCTCCTTCACTGCGTTGCAAACTTCTGACTGAAATTATAATACCCTGCAAGGGTATAACAAAGAAGTCTTACTCTTTTTGTGGAAAACACATTGGAACCGAGTTTGTATTTTTAAATCATTTCTAAAAAAATAAATGATATACATAATTATAAAACAACATTTGCCAGGAATACATCCCGGAAGATATACAAGTTTTAATAGTTAATATTAATAAAAAGTTTATATTAGTTTAATAAAGGTAAATATAGAACATATTATTGTCTGAGTAAGATCTTAAAACAAAAATCTTTTAGGTACTAATGCAACAATTAAATATGATTAAAACTGCTGGCACATATGACTTAACTCAAAGACAAAGGAAAAAAAGGATACCAGGAAAGATAATATAGAACATATATTTTTAATTACTTAAATACTATTTAATTTATAGATCATCTCTAGACAAGATATCTGCTTTATTCACAATTGTGTTGTGAAAAGTAAAACTAAATTTACTAAAAATAACAGCAAAAAACAACAACGGGAACTTGCTTCGGTATTTTTGTGGAATAATCAAAGAATGTATTGATTTTAGGTTTTTCTATGTTAGTTTTTATTAGGATAACATTGTTGTTAAATTTTTCTAAATGTTAAAAATATTGACATGGGTTTAAAAATTTTAAGAAACTAAAGATCCTTCTCCAATATCTTAATATTTTTTATTTTTCCTGACAAATCTTTAAAGTAAACCTCCGGTTTTTTGCTAATTTTCGAAATACAAACTTCAAAGTTAAGCTTCTTAGATCCTTCCCTGATCACCCACACGCTTCGCTTTGTAATCTCAAAACCCAAAGATAAACTTCTTCATAGATGCTCGGCCACGTATCGATGACAATAATAATAAACAAATATCGAAGCACGCTTGGCCCAATCAGGTCTCAATAAAAAGCATTGTTTGAACACGAGCCCAATGGGATCAATTTAAATATATATATATTTTTCCATTTGCCTCAACCCAAACCAAAAATCTGGCCACGCTTTCCAATTCATTCGAAACCTCAGTTGGTAATCCATAAGCCACAGACAGACTTTTTGTCGGATCATTTCCGTTTTACAAAAAAGAAAAAATACCAGTCAAAACTTGACAAATTAGACAAATAGAAAACATGCCAAAGAACTGAGCGGATCCGCCCCAATTAAGCTGCTCAAATATTGTATTTTTCTTACCAGTCATGGCGAGTGCGTAAGACCAGTGGATGAGGTTAAAAGGCGTTGAAACGTATAGGGGAAAGGGCCAACACGGTGACTGCTAATTAGAATAAAACCGTGAGGGGAAAATATGTTTATTCATGATTTAAGGTGGGTAGAGAGGGTCTATGATTTTTCAAAAAAGTATAAGAAGGAAGAAAAGAGAAATTCGTTTTTAAAATAATTTTATTTAGAGCGGAGTTGGTTTCAGAAAATATTTCTACAAAATACCGTAGTTAAATAGCCAACCTATCCTGTTAAATACAAAACCCCACTGAAATATCAATTAAACAGCAAAAGGTTTAAACAAAAATCGAATTTAAATTCATTTAATTTCACAGCTCCATGATATCGATCAATGGGATGGTTAAAAACCTGTCTTTGGCTAAAAGGCGCCCAGTCATGCTTCCGCCTTTAAGGAGAGAAATAGGCTCCCGTCAGCACATTCACATCCACGTCCTCATCGACTCAGCCACATCCCAACATCCCAATAGAATTCAGACACCTTTAGGCCCATGTTGTACCGCTGGCGGGGCCGGCATTTGTTCGTAATCAAAATCCTTTTATAGCATTTACATAGCAGCACATACAAATCAAGTAATGCCTGCTATTGGTCAGGTTTTTTTTTTTTTTTTATATATTTTTGCCACTTGTTGTGCAGTTAGAGTTAGTCATTGAGACTTGGGGCTCTGGTGGCTGCTGCTGCTGCTGACAACCGATCCGATCGGAGCCTGTGGCTAGATCGTGGGAAAATGATCGATTTCATCAGGCCCGGAGAAGTGTCTCTCTCCCTCGACTGCAGCCATGGAGTACATGACAACGAACATGCTAGCCAGGCCATTGAAACGTGTTCATAAAGCAATTTTCGACTTTTTCTACTCCTTTCAGCTGGGATCGGATCGTAGCTGACGCCGTTTGAGCTTTATGAAATGCATCTGACAGATTGTTGCCAATTTGGTAGTGGAAGGCTCTTTGAATATTGATTTGATGACCGTGGAAAATGTGTTTTTTTCTAGTTGGATTTTGATGGATAGTTAGCCGTAGATAAACACTAATGGACAGCTAATGATTGATTAGGTAAAAGAGTTGTAAAAACTGATTTAAGAAAGGATTAAAGGGGAGAGATATTTAGAAAAGAGGAGAATCAATGCTTACCTAGTTGGTTTTTCTCATGAAAAGGTAGTTTGAGAAGAGTTTTTTCCAAAATTTGCACAAAAGTATTAAAGGAATTTATAATTATCATATTTAGAAATAACAGAGAAGCTAATTTAATTGAAATTAATTTTCCTTGCATATTTAAGCAGAATAAAGTCTTATTTAATTTATTTGTATTTCCCATTAAAATATATTTTTATTTAAAAAAAAAAAAAAATCACCATAAATTAATGATTTCTAAGGCATTCCCATGACAGAACAATTATAAAACTTGCTCCACCCATAATAATAATTTTCATAGTGCAACCTTCTCAACTCCTAAATTTCAACCCAACTCGATTGGCAATGCTAATTTTGTGTTTCTCTTTTTATTTTGCTTGCAACCATTTTTTATGCATTATTTTTGCCACTTTTTAGTTGGCCATGCCATTTAAGGTATTTTTTTTTTCAGAGCTCTCTCACCTTGTAATGGAATTTGTGTCTAATTGCTGCGTTAATTTATACCATTTTTCATGCCATTTTTAATTAATTCTCTTTATTAGATTAGGGGAAAAAAAATGAATTTTTATACATCTGAGATATATATTTATATATAAATAATTTCGATATGAATTTCAGGAAACTCACTCAACCAAAAATGGATTAAATGAATGGAGGGGCCGGCAAAAAGTCCCCGCCGCCAAAGGGGAGCAAAAACTTGACCAGGCCAACGATGGATGGAGAATTATTATGCAGCAGCAATTACTCGCCAATTGTCGTCGCAATGAGATAGAGAGCGAATGGCCAGCGTAGTGGGAATGAAAATGGGAATGAGAACGGGAACGAAAGGAGAAAAAGCTGTTCGAAAAGGCGATAATCCAGTCGGGAAGGAGCGCAAAAGAAGTCGATGGAGACCGGCGTTCAAGTGAGGATCGCAATGATCAAACGAATAAAAAAGGTGCACTGGGAAAAAAATTTTAGAAAAATTTTAATTTGAAACTAAGCTTGAATTGCTATTAATTTTAAATATTATTAAGTATAATTAATATATTTTATTAATATTATAAAATGCAGAAATTTAGTTAAAGAAAAACCAACTCCTTTAAAGGAGAAGGAGTGTTGGCCATTTAATTTATTTTAATTTATTATTAATATTAAATATTTATTATTATGTATGTATAACATTAATATAGAGAGCTCTCAGGTTTAAACCTATTCAAAAATATGTTTTTAACAATTTAAAAAGGGAATTAAAATATCTGAAGACCAATTTCTAGACCCCTTATTGTTATATTTTTAAACTTTCAAACTGGTTAAGCTTAAACAATTTAAAAACTTTATAAAAAATCCTTAACATATTATCTTTAACAGCACAATTTTTCCTCTGTGCACCTTCTTGGATCTTGGCCATCTCAACGGTTTTGGCCCCGTCTGGTTATGACCAAATGGAGAGGATCAGCAGTCGCCCCCTGTGATTATTTTTATTATAATTGCACGTTTATTGGCGTGAGGAAATGTTGTTGCCACTCCAATCCGTGGGGACACCACACACACCAAAATGCCGCACATCGACACGGACTGTTGGCGAGTACATCAAATTTCATAATCAAAAAGTGCTTCAAAGCCAAACCATTTCGTACATTTCTCGGTCTTTCTCCATTGCAGCCACCAACTGCTAACTGCTAACTGCTAATGACGACGACACCTTGGACAACGAGCCTATATGCAGCAGCTCCTCCAGATCTCTGGACACTGGACAATCCGAAAACATCCCACTAATTTTTCCATATATGTCCAAAGTGGTACACAAACGGCAAAAGGCAAACGGCAAAGCGGCTTTGATTTGTGCAAGGCAAACTTGGCGCTTGTTGTACAGCATTTTTGCGTCTCTTAAATGCTGCATTTTCTTCTGGATTCGTTCAGTTTTAGTTTATAGAGTCTATGTATATATAGTATGCCTTGGGGTAATATAAAAGTCAAAGCATTAAGCCGACAAGAAGCGTTGAAATTTTATTTAATAATTTAGAAATATTTTGGAAAATAGCAAATAATATTTAAAAATGTTGAGGGAGTTGGAAAAGTTTATTAAGGTGGTAAAAATACATTTAAATGAAATAATAGGTACTAAAAAGCATTATAATATTTTCTATTTACAACAAAATAATTACTCCAACAATTATTTTTTCCAAAATGAAGCCAAAGGTCTCAGTGAATTATACAAAAATAGCATATGTGATAAAAAGTTAATTTAAAATAAATAACTTGTAAATTTAAGGTACTGAAAAGTATTAAAATATTTTTCTACTTTTAAAAAATTAATTTCTTCAATACTTATTCTTCCCTAAATGCTGCTAAGGGTCTCAATCAATTATAAATATTTATACAAAAGCCAAATCTTAAATTACAAATTCAATGTTATCCATATCAGATTTCCTATATTGTAATATTTAATGGCTTATTTCCCACTTGACGTGTATCTCTGATCTTGACTGCAGCCTCACCTTCATTACCTCATTAACTCATCAATTATTTCAACCAATTGCATTGCAATTCAATTAGGAAGTGCATCTATAATAACCCAACCCAAAACCCAAACTCAAAACAAATTGTAAGCCCCAATTAACCAAGTGTTCAAGTAGGTTTTTGGCGCCAACCTGCCCTACCAAACTGTTAAACTGTTGAAAATCTCTACAAAATAATTAACTATTGAGATGAAAAGCAATTTGAAATACAAAAAGTGTTTTTCCGATAGATATCTCAAGCAATTGCCGGATTTTACAGTCTAGAAATATAAAAAAGCAGCACTTGTAACAAGTGAATCTATTCTGAAAGGTTTTACCTAAATTAAACACGTTTTATCTTAGGTCTATAATTTTAAATTAAATTTTTTAAAGACCTGTTTGATAAGCGAGTTAATTGTTATCGAATGGAAACCCTAAAGAGACTCACATTAAAGATTTAATAGGGTTCCCCTTTCAAACACATATAACTTATAAAAATATATATAAAAACGATATAATATTAAAATAAAAAGAAAAGAATATATTATTTATATATACAATTAATAAAAAGGTCAAAAATCTCCCTATAAAATATTTATTTATGCTCCATAAAGTTTCATAAATTCCAAAGATTATGACCACTTTAAAAATAAACCATAAATAAAAATGCAACGCAAACATTTCAGCCCTCTCGGGCGAGATTTTGCTTAAAAAACAATTAAACAAAAGGAAAAGAGCGTTAATAAAAAATTAAAATAATCAGGGTAACATCACGCCAATGGCTCATTTGTAATGCTCCAGAAGAATTTCGACTTTGGAAGAGAGCCAGAGTGGAGCTGGCTCCCTAATTACATGGCCTTTTGTTGTCTGCACTTTGCGTTTCTTCTTTTTGCGGGTGTTGTAACGCGACAATTAGGGCCATAAAACTTTCTGTTTCTCTGCCTGGCTTTTGCATAATCGCACAATTTGTCAACGGTGCCTGCCAGTCATAGACAACCCCTTTCATATCACATTTAATTGCTTTTCCCCGATTGTTTGCGTTCCGCATTTCAATTTAAATGCAAAGTTTTTTCGGGGTTAACCATTAGGGGTTTAAATGCGTTAAAGAGAAAAATGTGCCCGAGATGGCGTGCCGGTAAGTGTGAAGTGAGAAATGGTTTCCCAAGGAGCTTTACATATGATAGATGTACATAAATGGATGAGTTGCCATTGGGGAGCCAAAGGTAAAGACCAAAGATTGAATATGGGAAGAAGCTGTACACTTTATGATATATTTCAGAATTCTTAAAAATCTATGGAAAATATTTTAATTAAAAACTAGCTTTAAAGCTTTAATTTTTAATATCTGTCCTTTGTTTTAAATATGTTGTATTATTCTTTAAAAACTACTGTGAAATGTATTAAAATATTTCTAACTTAATTTAATTCTTTAAATTTTACAGTTGAAAGTAAGCTTTAATGATATAAAATAATCTAATTGCATTAATAAATTCTACAAGAAAGGCCTTTAGACCGTGAAAAATTCATAAGGTTTTCTTCGGTAAAACCAGTAGCACTTTCAAGTGTATATTTTATGATTAACCCCTATCTTAACCCACATCAAAGTCTCTTTATAGCCTTTTTCTTTGACACTACAATTATTCTATCTTCTTAATGCTTCTGTTTTACTAATTAGTATCAGTTTAAACATAGAAAATTCATTTTAAATACAGAAAAATAAAGACAGGAACCCATAAACCAAAGAAATAATGGGATTTCAAGATGGATTTAAGAAGAACAAGTGGTTAAGAATATGTTATGCATTTATTTTTTGGGGAACCTAAACATGTAACAACTATAATTATTATATGAAATTGAACTACTAATAAGAAATATACATTATCCTTTAAAAACTTATGTAATAAACTTAATTTTGTCATCAATGTAATATAAAGATATGAAAATGGTCTTGTCTTATAGATGTTTATCCTTTGGAATCTGCAAATTTTCAAATCAAAATATTTATTTAAAATGAATTCCCAATTCACAACCCCGAAGTTATTAATCACTTGTAGTGTTTTTCTTCCAATTAATATTAAATTAAACACTTTAAAAAGTATTTCCCATATTACACAAAATAGATAGAATCTCATAAACCAACGAAAATTATGGCAAATAAATATGGATGTAAAACCGAAGCACAAGGCTATAAGAATTTGATTTGCTACCGCTTTCTATGACATTTAAATGGAATACATGAAATCGAGCAGTTTATGTTGAACAAAACTAACCATCGGGATTAGGCCATAAAGCATGCTAGAGTGCGCCGTATCTGCCAGATACAGATACGCTCACGCTCACGCTCACGCTCGCACTCGCACTCGCATCTAGACGTGCGTGTCAGCGAGTGTGTCTTTCGGGTATCCGATGCCCGATTCCATCCGATCCGATCCGGAGAGGAGACTTAGGCTTCATGGTGCAGTGGGTCCGAGCCCGGGCCTTGGACGGAGGACCATCAAACCAGAACGGCCGCCTATGAAGAATTCTGCCATAAATCATGGTCATAAAACTTAGCTGTAATCCCGAAGCAGAGAAAAGTAGAAAAAAAGCAGCCAAAGATCTTGGCGGAAGCATTGCGGACTTTCAACTGAGCATAACTCTGATTGATAATGATGTGTCAATAATATGTGTTTGCAATTTTATGCTGGCTGAATAATGTGAATGTAACATTGTGATGAAATGCCGCACAGCCGCAGAGAGTAGCATTTAAATGGTAATTTAAACATAGATTGGAGTTCCAGGAACCAAACCAACCATGATATGACCAGGCCCAAGGACAGCCCATCATTTTGTAATAGTACGCCAGCTCTTGGCTGGGGGATTTAAAATAATTTAGTTGGGAATTCAAAGATTAAATGGGAATTAAAATTAAAATTTAAAATACAATGCTTCTTTATTCTGGAAAAAAGTTAACAAATGTGATTATTTAATAAAGAAAACGTTAGAGAAAACCCTTCAAAAATAAATAAGGAGGCTTTTAGCATCTTTTAGCATGGGAAAGAAGTGATGTTTTAAAATATTTTTATAATATATAAAATATAATTATAATAAATAAAATATATCTATAATATAATAATAGTGATCTTTCCTTCTTTTTTTTAATCATGTTATATTTATCCTTCTATAGGGTATCAGCCATCTCGTAACTCTGCTCAATACCCACTCTGCCGCGGCAACATTTGAATGACCAAAAGTTCGCAATGCCTGGAATTTGCATTCAAATTGAGTCCCAATGAGAGCCAAGAACGATGATGATCCGGGTATCTCGGGGTGGCCGGCGCCTTCAACAAAGTGGAAATGCCGCCGAAATGCAAACGACAGGCTAATAAGCTTGAGTGGACAGTTTGGAATGTCCGGCCGGACTTCATATGGTAAACAATTGGCCCAGGCCCCAGTTGTGACCACCGAGTATTATTCGCATTATGCACCCAGGTCGCCGCCGATCGTCGTTGGATCCCCCTCCGGCAGTATTGACAGCTTTCTTAAACGCCGGCAAATTGCAGCCCGCGGAGGTGAATCAACTTAATTGCTCGCGGAATTGTGTCAGCAGATCGTGCGTATGCGATATGCCTTGTAAGGCAGAGGTGGATTCAGGAAAATTATTGCAAAAGGGGTTTAAGGTTTTAAATTTGTTAAAATATTGCTTAAAAATTTAAATGGATGCTAAAAAGAGGCATATTTAAGACAAATTCATGCAAAGAATTAGATCCAAAATAAATAAATAAGTGTTAATGCATTTTTGTATGTTAATAAGAATTTAAAAATTGGAAAAAATCATTTTGGAGTAAGTTGGCTTTCTTCTACAGAATTTACTAAGGTTTCATTTAACAATTTCTTGTTTTATATCATAATTAAAGCTTAAAACATTGTAAAAATATAGTGTTCAATATTTCTAAAATTTTCTAGTAACTAAAGAATTATTTCAAACTCCAAAACCCCTTTTAAATCTGCCACTGCCAAACCTGCGAAGTGCGGTACAGAAGCCAAAAACAATGCCCTTTGCTGGAATCTCCGCGGGGCGAATTCAAACTGAATTTTTTCCGCTCTTCAATAGCTTAATGCCTGCGAGCAGACAGTGGACTTAATATGCTTTTATAAATTAATTGTTGATCGATGTTTTTGATTATTTGAAGATTATGAAAAATTAAGTATACGCAATGTAAGCCGATTGAAGAAAGACAAACATTAATAGGATGGGGCGCCATACAATAAAGGTGAAATTTTCTACCTCCTCGAGGTCTTGTTGTGGTTAACTTATAATTTCTATAAAATTTGATTTATACATTGGTCTTATCTAAATTTTAATTAGAAATGAAAATTAAAAATTGTACAGGTTCCTAATAATTTAAATGAATTTTATATATTTTTAAATAGTGCTTTTTTAGTATAACATTTCAAAAATTACACATGTTTGTATACTTTATTTCAGAGTCCCAGTACCTCCCTAATAGTAATCACTAATGCTTTGTAATCGCACTTAAAACGCTTTTAAGATCGTTGATATTTATTTAGTAGCCTAAAAATAGCCCTGCCAATAAGAAACCA